GCTACATCATTTAGGGATCATGAGCTACATCATTTAGAGATCATGAGCTACATCATTTAGAGATCATTAGTTTGGTACAGTACAAGTAAACTCGAGACGAAAAATGCTGTCTTATATAGAGAAGGTTAGAGAGAAGTCCTGATGAAGGTTACCGTCTGTTAAAGACTATAGAGATGATGACGATGCAGGCAAACTTTGGACGAAGAATACGGAACTTATCGTTGAAACTAAAGTTTTAACATGATTTTTATCCATCTAAATGCCGGAAGAGTGATTAAAAAACTTTTAAATGGAAACTGACGCCTTAGCTTTGCTCGAATCTCTATTACAGTAGCAATATTTCCCCCTATACACCCAAATCGCTTGAAGGAAATATAGCATCAAGAATTTAAAGCCCCCAAGAGCGAGAACAAATACAGAAACAAATCAACTTGAGGATTATTTCAAACTTTTAATTATTGCAGAAAATGTTTATATACAGTCTGTGGAGTTTTCTCTGAATAACTTCGTTGTCTTACAAATTCCTTTCCGTGCCCCGTAGAGTTTACTCAGAGACATGAATGGGTCAAATTAATATGTCCAAAAATGACTCGTAGGTTGCTCTTGATATGTACAATGGTTTACTGATGCGCCCTTTTCTGGGGGCCAGCGTGACCCATATAAGGGAAAGAAGTACGTCGATACTTAGACGATACTTACTTCTTCATCGTCCTTACTTACTTCTTCTTTCAGTGTTTTATTGCAATCGAAACGTTCGTAGAAAATGTGTTCTCATCGATCGACAAATTGAAATAATATTTAAATGACATTTCAGATGTTGTCAACTAATTTCCTTAGTGTCACGCAAGAAATATTTGCTGAATAACATACAGACTAATGAATACCTAATTCTTCTAAACTAATAAACATCATATGAGAGCTTGCCAGCCGTGAAACGACATTTTAATGAGCGCCCTTTGGCACCACCAGCGCCCTTAAGCAACACCGGCGCCCTTTGGCACCACCAGCGCCCTTTAGCAGCACCAGCGCCCTTTGGCAGCACCAGCGCCCTTTAGCACCACCAGCGCCCTTTGGCACCACCAGCGCCCTTTAGCAGCACCAGCGCCCTTTGGCACCACCAGCGCCCTTTAGCAGCACCAGCGCCCTTTGGCAGCACCAGCGCCCTTTAGCACCACCAGCGCCCTTTGGCACCACTCACCAGCGCCCTTTAGCAGCACCAGCGCCCTTTGGCACCACCAGCGCCCTTTAGCAGCACCAGCGCCTGTGCCCTGGCAGCGTCCCCTTAAGGACCACTTAGCGCAAATGGCGCGCCCTTCACTGACCTCCATGCCCCACATACATGACCTTCAGCGTACCACGTTGAACATATTACCAGTGAACTCTAGTACACTCTTGGTTACAATAATAATTATAGTAAAGTAAACAATAACTACTTTTTTAACAAGTAAGCAATATTTACTTGGTTACAATTTGCATCTCTTCTTCATAATTTAGTTCACTAATCACATTTCTAATTTTTGTTTCTGCCACAACTGCTGCATTTAATTATTTGAGGAAGAGAAATGTTATCAATACAAGCCCTCTACTATACGGTGGGGCCTTCAGGCCGCTACGAGGCGTTAAGATCGTATGTTATACGGTAGTCTTAATACAGTAGTAGATAGTAATATAAATAGTAAGAAAATATATATTAAGATGTCCTAAGATCATACTCAAAGCTGTACATAAGGATGAATTGCACATATTATTATTCCAAATCAAATAATATTGTAATTGAAATAAAACATATTAAAAAATTTATATCAGCTTTTGGAAGGTATTAAACGTTACGCAAGTTAGGCTACAAGCGAACTACTAGAAAATAATCTTAGCAGGGATCATTCTCAGCCAATCATGCAGCCGTTACTTGGTCACGTCCATAGCTATTGGCCGCCACTCGCTATTAGCCACTGAAGCAGGCAGTGCCCCTCTACACGACACCACTAGCTCGGTAATAGTGGCGGTTAGTACTGGCCACAGCCTCACAGTGGCTGCCACAAATGGCCTCGTGTAAACGAACCTCGCCGGATCGGAGAGTGGGAGCGGGCTCTATCTCGAATATCAAATTTGCTTGCATCTAGAAGTATAGGCGTTAGCGATATATTTTAACATCTTGAATAGCTTCAAATGTTGAAAACTGACGAAATTCTGTAAAAATAAATGTCTGAAAAAAATCATTATTTTAAATTCACGCTAAGAAAGGCATAATATATCCCGTTAAAATGATATACGTTCCCGGAAATTACAGAGCTGTTGCATTGTCCGGGGAGTATTGTCTCGTATCTTCTCGTATAAAAAAAAAAACAGCGAGACTAAGATGCTCAGCCTCGAAAGGTTCTTCGTGTTCTCTGCGACTGAGGCTCAGGGGTTGACATCAAAGACCCTATAACCGACAAGGAGGCTCGTAACTTAAAACAAATTTGTACTGTTAGGTCCCTCGTTTGAAAGTAGCAGTTTTCAAACAGAGTCTTGGTGGAGTGTTTCGTCCTTGAAGATAATTAGTCAAGAAGTATCCGCGGTTCAAGGATTGGGCAGACATGACCGTCAGTCACGCCGTGGTCCCATCACCTGACGCTGGTCGATCTAGTGCCCCACCAGCTGGCAGTGAGTGAGGTGTGTGAGTGTCGGTCGCTCCAAGCATTGACTTGACGTGCGCCAGACGATCCTGCTAGACTCCTATACTGCTTCACCCGACTTCTAACGTTATATACTTTTAAATATGTCCGGCTCCTGAATGCTATAAAATTTGTAAATTTTTGTAACTTTTATCTGGACTTAATCATAGAGAAGAATGCGTTTGCATCTGTCATGTGGTGTTACACGTTAACAGCCATTCATAGTTCAGAGTTAAACACGTTAACAGCCAATCACAGTTCAGAGTTAAACACGTTAACAGCCAATCACAGTTCAGAGTTAAACACGTTAACAGCCAATAGCGCGTTAACAGCCAATCACAGTTCAGAGCTAAACACGTTAACAGCCAATCACAGTTCAGAGCTAAGCACGTATTAATAAACTCGTCAAACAATGTCTGCAAATTCCAAATATTTAGTTCACATTCATCATTTTCTTGTTGAATCAGGATATTTTGATATGTATTCAAAATATGCACCATCGATCGAAGGATGTATCAGAAGTTACAGTTTGCGTACGAAATTCTTGATGGTAATCAAATGGGGCTGAAATCCGTGACATTTTGGGCTGGTGTCTTGATAATATCACGCATGTCGATCGGTTCTGGACCACACACTAAATTCTGACGTATGACATCCAATTATATTATTGCTATATGAATATGTTATAACAATATTAGGCTGAAAAAACTTATTCTTGCTTGATAAAATGTAAAAAAAAACTTATAACAATAATAGGGGGAAAGAATTTTTTTCTGTAAAATGATTTGGTAAGCATGATTAACCTCGCCACTTTCCTACGAAAATAAGTCTCAAAAATGTGTCGAAAATGCATATGATATCGCTACTGTATATTGTGCTAAATAAATGTTTATCGGTTATTAGTGTATAGCTAAAAAGCCCAGCCGCTTACGATGTCCTACCTTATACCTTAATAAGTTTTTAGTCTATTGTTATGTATCATTAAATTATCTTTTCTCTATGGACCGCAAATGAATCTAGTATATTCTGCTGGCATTTTCAGTGTCTAAGTTGATTCGACTGACAAATTACGACGTGCTAAGTACACTTTATCTAAAGCACACATAAGTGTACTGTGCTCTGCGTCATACAGCTGTACAGCTGTGTCGTGCATGTGTACAGCTGTGCCGTGCAGGTGTACAGCTGTGCCGTGCAGGTGTACAGCTGTGCCGTGCAGGTGTACAGCTGTGTCGTGCAAGTGTACATCTGTGCCGTGCAGGTGTACAGCTGTGCCATGCAGGTGTACAGCTGTGCCGTGCAGGTGTACAGCTGTGCCGTGCAGGTGTACAGCTGTGTCGTGCAGGTGTACAGCTGTGCCGTGCAGGTGTACAGCTGTGTTTACCTGACCTGCTAGTGCAGGTGTCAGCTCATGCCTAACCTGCTAGTGCAGGTGTCAGCTCTTACCTGACCTGCTAGTGCAGGTGTCAGCTCATACCTGACCTGCTGTTACAGCACCTCAAATTTAGAGCCATGTCCGCCACTCCATTACTTTTTCGCGCGCTCTTAATCCCTTAGAATTACGCAGACAAAAAATACTCAGTCAGGTTAATCCTACCGACTTTCATGACGAAATTTGAGTTATTCCTGTAAGTTATCTGAACAAGAGCACAACGGGCGCCTGCGTGCGGGGCAAGCGAGCCTAATTTGCATGTGAAGCGGCTCATGGCCTAGCTATGCAGGCATATTCTTCAACGCCGAAGATACAATACTATTCTAAACGTGAGAACGCCGGCCGCTTCACTGCACTCTGTTGCACGCCATCGTTGTCGGATGTCGTTCGGTTGCTGACAAGGGGTGGTTCAGTGGTTACAGGTTGGATTTCCACGATTGGAGCAGTGAGATACGGCTACCTGCGACAGTTCTGGTCGGATCGGTTAGGTTGCATGGCGGCTTTGTATACAGCAAAATTGGAATGGCAAGTTGCGTGTTCGAGACACGCAACAAGCTGTGAAAATTCTCCGATGTTCATAATCAGCAACAGGTCCGACGACCTAATCAACGCTAACACCGATATTATATTATTATACCTCGTGCCCTTCATCTTGTCGTAAAAATATTTATATAAATACAACATTTTTTAGGTATTAAACGTTGAAAATTCTGTCACAACGGCTACTTACCTATAGTATTGTTATAGTAGTATCTCTGTATCTAGTATCACTAGTATTTCCTCAGTATCTCTGTTCACTAGTATTTCCCCAATAATAATTTCTGCAAACTTTCCCAGTTATTCTATAAGCTATCGGAATCTTCAGTAACTATTCTGACCACTTCAAACTATTTTAATGTCTTTCCTATTCTGCCCAGAGCTGACCCAGCGTACGCTGACCCTGCGTTCTACGATCCCAGCGCAGTCGCTGCACCGCAAAGCCTGCAGTACTACCCTGGTTACTCCCAGCAACCTGACTACTACCAGCAGGGAGAAGACTACTACCAGCAGGAGGCTGATCCGTACGCAGATTACGAAGGATATCCAGAGTACGATCCAGCTGGTGAGCAATACGAGGATTACCAGGAGGAATACCCGAGCGACTACCCCTACCCTGAGGGCGGTGACGGGTACGACGACGGTTACTACGACGAGGAAGAGGGGCCTCAATACGACGGGTTCTACCCCGACAACGCAGACCAGTTCAGGGACGTGTCCATCTACCAGCGAGAGCCGCGTCAGCGAGGCGAATACGTCATAGACGACGACGACGACGACGACGATCGCTTCGCCGTCAGGGAGTCCCGGCAGCCCCTGGCGCAGGCAGTCGCCCCCGCCCGGCGCGCCCCTCGCACGGAGATCGTCCTCGACACGTGAGTCCTTATCTTCATTAATTGATAATTAGGTAAACAAGTCAATTATTAGCCCACAAAATTGATCGTAAATCACAAAATTATATCCATTTTTCAAGTCAGAGTATTTTCATTCATTCCCCTCCCCCTTGCATCTTCTTAACCGCAGTGGGTAAGTACGTAAATAATTACAATGAATACGAGATTCCCAAGCTACCCAGCGCAGCTCCGTTCCTCGACGGTTCATGCATCACCTGGTAACTGATCACAGCTAGAAAGTCAGTGAAGATCATTCGTTCAAGCTGCTTGTATTTTTATCCTTTATCATTTTAAAATATATCACCTGTAGAGGAATCGGTATTTTCAAAAGTTTTCTGTTTTTCAACTGTAGAAATGGTGATATTAGAGAAAGCGGTCCACTAACTCTCTTTATATAAACTCAGTTTAACACCAAGCAGCTATTTACGAAGCATACGTGATTTACGATCATCGTTAGCCAGAAAAAATGATCTAAATATGTTGCTTTTGTCAGTCCGGGAGAAGAAGACGACCACATCGGGTACTCCACAACTCATGCCGACTACCCAGCCCACGACCTAAGGCGCGCACCACGCGAGCGCCCCCTACGCGTCTCGGGCGAAGAGATCGTCATCGACGAAGACGTCGATCCTCTTCACGCTGACAGCGAGACCCGTCGCGCCTACGGCCCTCCACCCCGCCAACCCAGGGAGCCCGTGGCGCGATCCAAATCCTACGGGGAGATCGTGATCGACGAGGATCTCGCGGGCATCCCGCAGGAAAGTGAGACCCGGCGGGCATACGCCGCACCCCCTCGTGACCAAAGGCAGCAAATCAGGAGGTCTAGATCACTTGGGGACCTGATCATCGTCGACGACGAGGCTAGGAGTGAACTGCCGCAAGCCAGCGAAAGCCACGCTGCGTATCCGGCGTACGACCGCGTCGCGCGGCCGCAGGTAAGATCCTGGCTTGCCATTAGATCATTAAAGTAACTTGGGGCGCTACGCACAGCGGCTCGAACGATTTTAAATCATTTAATATTCAATATACTGACCTATTATGGCTATTTTCTCAAGTTCTGGCTTGTGGTTCTATACCCACTAATGGCGAAAAACCAAGCAGCAGAAACACGTTTGAGCGTAAGTATGGTGAGCAATTACTTCAAGCTAAGAAGAACATCTGAGTTAGCTATTGTAATTGTCACTAAAATCTATCTACATTAATAGGCACAGAAGATCGAACACGTTATGAACTACCTTTGGATTACGTGGTTATTGCCAACATTACAGTAAAAAAATTATCTAATTAGAGAATATGTCTTCCATTCAAAAATTGAAACGTTTTATTTTCCTCTTTCATGACATGTACTTAAATAATCATCTGTTGTACAAATATTATGCTTAATTATTTTTCTCGTTCAGCGAGTACAGTACGCAGCTGGATACGAGGGCGAGTCACTACCATTGGAGACGAACACCGAGACCAAGTCCCAGTACGTCGAGCAGACAGGCACTCGACCTCGGCGCCGCCAAGACGCCTATATCTACTCGAATGAATACCTTCCTTTGGATGACAGTGAAACTAAATCTCAATATAAAGAAGTCAGGGGAGGTCGCCAACCACCGATCAGAGCGAAGACAAGCCTTCGGCACACTGGTGTGTCAGGCAACCTAACCGAAACCCACTCGAGTTATCAAGAGAAAAGAGGGGAACGAGCTCGCCCCACTCGACTAGGCACGAGTCTCAAGCCACAAGGAGTATCAGGAGAAGGCAGTGAGACACAGCAAGAGTTTAAGTATAAGACAGCTCGAGTTCAGCGACCAGGCATCAAGCAAGTTGGGAGCCTCAAGCAGTCCGGAGAACTGGATGGCAAATCTGAAACTAAAGATCGCTACACCGATAAGAAAGTTCCGCGTTCGATATTGAGAAAAGTTTCAGATAACATCAAGCCGGAAGGAAGCTTCTCAAAAGATACTGAATACGACTCGAAGTTTCAGAATGTGCCTAACGGAAAACAAAGGCCTGTAAGGAAGTCAGATACTTTAGCTCAAAGTGGTGAGTTGCAGAAAGAGACAACATACGTGACTACCTACACGGAAAAACAAGCCCCCAGATCTAAGGCTGCCAAGAAACAAGATAATCTTGCATCTGAAGGGACTTTGGAGCAAGAGACTGAGTACGACCTGAGATACAAAAAGTTTCAGGCTCAGAGATTTCGCGGAGATAAAAAAAGCGATAACCTCAAGATCGAAGGAAGCCTTGACCAAAACACTGAATATGAACAAAATTTTGGAATTAAAAAAACTCAACGACCTCGCGGAAAGAGAATAGAAGATAACCTGAAATCAGAAGGGGAAATCGAAAAGTCTTCAGAGTACGATCAACGATTCCAAAGATTGTATGCAGTGAAGCCCAAACAAAAAAGGCAAGAAGACACACTCAAATCTGAAGGTGACTTGCAAAAGGACACCGAATATTATCAACGATTTAAAGCAGTGAACACTAGCCGCCCTTCGAAAATAAAAGCACAGGATAACCTGAGAGTGCAAGGAGAACTTCAAAGTGATACAGAATATGACAAGAAGTTTAAAGGCATTGCTGGGGCACGGCCTAAACAGATAAAAGTGAAAGGCAGTCTAAAAGTTGAAGGCGAACTTCAAAAAGAGACCGAGTACGACGGTCGTTTCCGGGGACTGAACGCAATTCGACCCAAGAAAGTGATTGGAAAAGACACGTTGAAAATAGAAGGTGATTTGTCAAACGGGACTGAATACTACCAGAAGTTCCAAGGTACTCGAACTACTCGACCTCCTAAAGTAAAGGCAGGAGATAATTTGCGAATCGAAGGAGACCTAGCGAACGGCACAGAGTACGAGAGGAGGTTCAAAGGTGCCAGAGGTGTTCGCCCATTAGTTGTTCGTGGACGAGATAATTTACAAATTCAAGGAGACCTAGAGAAAGACACCGAGTACGATAAAAGGTACACAGGTGCCCGAGCATTGAGACCTAAGAAGATCAAAGCTACTGATAACTTGCAGATCCAAGGCACGCGAGAAAATCATACAGAATACGATCAGAGATATCAAGGAGCAAGAGCTGCGCGACCCAAGAAGGTTAAAGGACCGGACAACTTAAAGATTCAAGGGAATCTCTTTCAAGACACAGAATATGATCAAAAATTCCAAGGAACTAGAGGTGCTCGCCCTGCAAAAGTCATAGGTAAGGATAATCTGCGTATTGAAGGAGATCTAGAAAAAGATACCGAGTACGATCAGAGGTATCAAGGCGGCAAAGCAGCTCGACCTGCAAAGGTTAAAGCCGAAGATAACCTTCACATTGAAGGAGATCTAGAAAAAGATACCGAGTACGATCAGAGGTATCAAGGCGGTAGAGCAAATCGACCTGCAAAGGCTAAAGCCGAAGATAACCTTCGTATTGAAGGAGATCTAGAAAAAGATACCGAGTACGATCAAAGGTATCAGGGCGGCAAAGCAGCTCGACCTGCAAAGGTTAAAGCCGAAGATAACCTTCGTATTGAAGGAGATCTAGAAAAAGATACCGAATACGATCAGAGGTATCAAGGCGGCAAAGCAAATCGACCGGAGAAAGTTAAATCCGAAGATAACCTTCGCATTGAAGGAGATCTAGAAAAAGATACCGAGTACGATCAGAGGTATCAAGGCGGTAAAGCAACTCGACCAGCAAAAGTTAAAGCCAATGATAACCTTCGTATTGAAGGAGATCTAGGAAAAGATACCGAGTACGAGCAACGGTTCTTAGGTGCGAAAGGGAATCGAGTCAAGAAAATCAAAAGTCAAGACCAAATTCGAGTTGCTGGTGAACTCCAAAAGGAAACCGAGTACGGCCAAAAATTTCATACCAAAAAACCTGAGCAGTCTTCAAAACCGACTTCCCAATTTACGCGCAGACCTTCTGTGGAGTTAAAAGAGGATTTGGAGTATAAAAAAAATTTTGTCGCTAACACTGGTCGAAAGGTGACTCCAAAGAAGGGTGCAGATAATCTTCGCGCTAGCGGTAAATTGAACGCAGGTACCGAAAATCTAAAGCAGTTTGCAGGGAACGCCAGTAGCAAAGGAAAAGCAAAGCCCCAACAAGACAATTTGCGATCTGACGGACAATTCCATAAAGAAACAGAGTACGAAGGTAAATTTTTGGGGCTGAACAAGCCGAAAACTAAAGGCAGCAAGCCAGCTGATACTCTTGAAACCAAGGGAGATATTACAAAAGAAACTGAGTATAATGAGAACTTCCTGCCTTCGTCCTTAGCAAAGACTACTCAGCTGAAACCTGTCGACAATCTTCAGACGATTAGTCAGCTGCAGCAACAGCAACAGCAGGAGCAGGACGACATAGCTGATAGCATCCCAAACCAAATTACACAGAACCAAGAAGAGGAACAACAGCCCTCATTATCATCGAATATTCTAGATGACGAAGAGATAGAAGAAGAGACCGAAGAGGTCGTCGATGAAGAACCTGAGGAAGACAAAGTTCAGCGTGAGCAGAACTTTGAAAAATCTGGGCTACCTTCTGGTCCTGGACTCACTATCATTGGCGGTACTGGCAATATTCGGCTCGCTAATCAAGAAGAGTACCGAAATAATTACAAAGGAACTCCTATGAAAGGTTTTCTCCGCCGTATCATACCAGCTTAGGCTTAAGTAAAATAATTATCTCTGTGTGGCAATTTTCTCATTATTTTCTAGATGATCCCCAAGCGCCAGTCCCGTTACAAGATTCCTGACAGTCTTCAGTCTTTTGGTGAATTTGAAGGCAACACCGAAGTTCGAGAAAGCTTTCGCTTCTTTACATTTGCACCTCGATCAGAAAAGACTTACACGAAGGAGCAGAGGAATCAATCTAATTTCCATGTTCATGAGCCTGTTTCTAAAATACAAAACGTTGACACTAAAGCAAGTCTGAACGCCAACACACCAGATGAACTTGCGCCTCCTGTCCAAGCTCAGGGTACGGGAAACGATGCTTCGCAGAATTCGAGACGCACTACAAAGCCGTTAAATTTTGCAAGGAAAATTGAAGGCATACCAGGAAGAAATTCTGAAGCTAACAGGAACACACATCAACGTCATGAAGATAGCTCGAAGCAGGACGGGGACCTTCAAGGCCTTCCTCAACCCCACGACCATTTCGACATGAACCAAGTTAGGAGGAGCATAGCTCCGCCGCACAAAGGGGAACTTGTCACCGATGGTTCCTTCGGCGGCGAAACTGAATTCCACGATCGATATAAGCGATTGAGTGCAAAACGTGAAATTGCTGGGAAACACTCAGACCACATTGAGTTTACAGGAGACTTCAGTAGCGTATCCGAAATAAAGGAGAAGTATCAAACCTATCCAAATAAGAGAAACATTGCAAAGCGACATTCCAGCACTCTAAAAATGGAGGGAGATTTCCATAGCAAATCAGAATTGCATGACAATTTCAGCAGACACGAGGGAGTCAGAAACATTGCTGCTCGTCACGGAACAACACTCAAGCTTGAGGGGAATTTTAACTCTTCCACTGAGCTAAAGGATCGTTTCAAACCTCAGGATCTGCAAAGGAACATCGCTCCTCGACAAGTGGCGTCTCTGAGACCAGAGGGAAAATTTGGTGAGACGTCAGAGCTGCGAGAAAAATTTCCAAGACATGAGCCGTTGAGGAGCATTGCTGCAAGACACCCGACTGAAATGAAAATGGAAGGAGACTTCAATGCCTCATCTGAACTAAAAGAAAAATTTCCGGCTCATGAAGCAACAAGATGTATTGCTAGAAGGCATGAAGCCAATTTACGTCCTGAAGGAGATTTTAGCAACGAAGTTTCTGAAGTACATGGCCAATATCAATTGCTTCCTCTGCAACGGAATATTGTAGGTCGTCATCCTACTCACTTGAAATTAGATGGAAATTTCGGTGAAACATCCGAGCTCAAGGACAAGTTCAAACCTCACGAACTCAGAAGGTTTATCGCTAAGCGTCACAGCGCAAAAATGAAGCTGGAGGGAGACTTTGGTGAGAACTCTGAACTGCACGACAAATTCAAGCCTCATGCCCTTGAACGCAACATAGCCAAAAGACACGACGCTGAAATGAAGCTAGAAGGAGATTTCCAAGAAACTTCGGAACTGCGCGACAAATTCAAGCCACATGAGCTGCATCGCAACATTGCCAAAAGACACGACACTGAAATGAAGCTTGAAGGTGATTTCCAAGAAACATCGGAACTGCGCGACAAATTCAAACCTCATGAACTGCATCGTAACATTGCCAAAAGACACGACGCTGAAATGAAGCTTGAAGGTGATTTCAAGGAAATTTCGGAGCTGCGCGACAAATTCAAGCCACATGAATTGCAACGTGTCATAGCTAAAAGACACGACGCTGAAATGAAGCTAGAAGGTGATTTCCAAGAAACGTCGGAACTGCGCGACAAATTCAAGCCTATTGCAGTAAAACGTGTGATCGCAAAGCGGCACAGTGCCATGATGAAGATGCATGGGGAATTCGGAGAGACTTCTGAGCTACATGACAAATATAAACCTCATGAGACACAGCGCAATATCGCCAAGAGGCCTTCGAACGCGATAAAACTTGAGGGCAATTTCGATGAAACGTCTGAGCTTCGAGACAAATTTAAGAAGCACGAACTTAGAAGGGACATTGCACAGAGACACATTGCGAACCTCAAGCAAGAAGGTGTTTTCGGAGAAACTTCGGAAATCCACGATCAATTCAGGGCCCATGAAGTAAAAAGGTTCATCGCTGAACGGCACAAAGATATGATCAATGTAGAAGGTGAGTTTGGTGAAGCTTCTGAAAATCACGATAAATTTAAAGCTCATGAAAGCAGCAAAAGCATCGCGAAAAGGCATGGCGCGAATCTCCGAGTCGAAGGCGACTTCGAACAAACTTCTGAGTTGAAAGCTAACTTCCACGGTCACGAGCCCAAGCGCAATATTGCTAAGAAACACAGCGCCGTTTTGAAAATGGAAGGAGTCTTTGGTGTTGCTTCGGAGATGCACGATAGATTCAAGAGGTTCAGTGGCGTAAAACGTAACATCGTTAAGCGGCACAGCGGCAACCTCAAGTCGCGGGGGCATTTTGAAAGACTCACTGAAAATAGCGACCATTTCAAGGGACACAGAGCTGTCCGGCACCTAGCTCTCCGACATCTGCCGGTACTCAAGCTCGAAGGAGACTTCGGGGAAATATCCGAGCTAAGTGACAAGTTCACGAAGCTTGAACTCAAACGAAACATCGCTAAGCGACCTAACTGCCTCCTAAAGGTAGAGGGAAAGTTTGGAGAGTTATCGGAGGTGAGAGATAAATATCGAAGACCTGTTGACTTCAAACGCAACATCACGGTCAAGAATAACGAAGATCACCTTTGGCTCGAAGGATCACGCGTACCGGTCAAAGGCAACACCGAATCTTTGGATAATTACAAGTCTTTCTCTGGTGTGAGTTCGAGTGCCTTGCGAGTGCCTCCTAAATATACTTACAACGTCCCCGTCCCTGTTGCATAACATCAGGCCTAAATAGTTCTTTATAATGAGTTGAATACACGTAGGCTAACATAAATTATGAGATATAAAGTATATGTAACAAATTAAGCTGCAAACCAAAATTTTTTGATAGCTCATGTAAATTCTTGGACAGGAGAGGAGGATGTGCGCTGCGCTGAATAATGTAAATTCATCAGCTTCCGTAGATGTGTCAGCGAGAAGAGCTCTTATAGTCTCGCGTTTGCACTCGAAATGTGTATTTTTTCTTTAATCATTTAGTGATTTGCTTTCTTAACTTACGACACGAAATAATCATCGCTAGCTATGCTTCATAAATAAGTGTTGGGGTTTGTTTGTTCAGTCAAACTCACCGCGTCAACACTAACACTGTTGTGCTTCAATTCTTAATCCATGATTGTTTCTGCGAAACAAACTCTTGAAATACGAGTGTAGAACTTACCTACGACTAGACAATGGGCTAACATAAAGGTTGTTACTAGAAAGGAGCAATGGTATAAACCACTAAAATAATCATCTAGGCTTACGTAGGCTTGCTGACGAGACCGATCTCTAGCCTCGAGTTAGGGAATCTGGGCATCTCCGTCCACTGCTGCCTACCAAGAAGTCGACAGTTCATTGGGTCCTCCATCGAATGGCCCTATAAAATCCAGCTCTTTTCGCCCAACTTTGGAAATAATTTTATGTTATCAAATCAGTGAGTGATTACACGATTTAGTTTCATTAATGTCTCTAGCACTCGTAAAACTATGATTTAAATTCAGTAAAATATGTATGTATATGAAGGAATAGTTGGATAGATTATCGATTTTATTAATTGTATTAACTGAAAATGAGCAATTTAGTTGTTTTTAAAGCTGCTTAACTATAGAAAACTGTTAACTAATTAGTTACATCTTCATTTAGATGTTATTTCATTTGCAAAAATGCACCAATAAATAATTCTATTGGAAATAGTTTGCTTGAATTTCCTATCGTTCATTTAATCCTTGCAACGCGCAAGCAGTTGAGCTCGACGTCGTCCACCAAGACCTTCGTTTACTAGTTATAGTACGGTCAAGTCAACGATGAATACCTTCTTTATTTAAAATTGGTGGACCCAGTGATCCGAAACTATGTAACTCCTTATTGAATTATCATAAGCTCGGGGGTTAAGTTTACGCTTAACGGGTCATTTTTACAACACTTCTCTTTAACTTCACTTCTTGTTGTTTGTCCGTCTGTCTGCTACAAATCTTGTAATCGATTTTTAACACACTTCTACCTCTCCAATCTATCTGAAATTTTGCACACTTGCGTAAAGTTGGAGAAAATGCACGAATCAACTGAGAGAATAAATAATTTGAAAAATTAATTTTTTCTTTCAATATTAAAAAATTGAAAAAATAATTTTGTCAGCTACAAATCTTATAATCGAAATTTAACACACTTCTAGCTGTCCAATAATTTGCAGACTTGCGTAAAGTCGGAGACAATGCATGAATCAATTGACTGAATAAATAATTTTGAAAATTTAATTTCTTTTAGGTATTAAAATAAATACAAAATTTATTTTTTTAATATTCGAAATTAAAACTAGAAATTCATTGTACTTGTTTTACATTGGAGACACTGGATTTTTTAGTAGTGTTGTCTTTATAAAGTAATTTTTAAACGTATATTATTTGAGATAAAGACTATCATTAAATTGGCCCGTGTACATATTACTCGTGGATAAAGTTCAAATCTAATAATCATTCAACCCGAGCGGAATGTCCTCCGGAGTTCGTGTGCAAAGTCTTACAATAATCATTTGATTTGTGTGGGAGATATTCCTTCGTCACGGCGGACTGGACGACCGGATAAAACATAACATAGTGATCTCGGCGCTGCAGTGTAGGCCTGATGTGGCCTGTCGCCGATTCTTTTCCTTTTCGTGCCTTGTTCATAGAAGATCTAAAATCGTGTAATTTGACCGTATCATTTCACGACTGACGAAAGTTTGAAAATTGAAATAGCTACTCGACTTCCACCGGGTTCGATATGGTGCTAGGCATTTCAAATCTGAACATATATGTATATCTGACGGGCGGCTCGTGTAACTCGCTAATGCAACCAAAGTAGAGAAGTATCTTACGACCGTAACAGGAATAGCAGGCTGATACGAGTGAATGTGCGAGGTTTTATCCAGTTAAGTTTCCCAGTATTTTGATAAAAAAAATAGTATCTACTGTTAGCAGCGGCCTATATGGTCGTATAACTTGCAAATAGATCTGAACTTGATAAACGTAAAAATGTTCATTTTCATTGAAATCTGTTCATTACTTTGAGATAGTCCTTGCGCTGCAATGCGTTTTTGCTACCGCCAGATAAGCGATATTAATACCGGTCACGACAATAGCCAGTTGTTATTGAAATTAGGAGTGGATAACCACATTTAAATTTAAATTATTGCAGATTTAATGACTCTTATAAATGAGCACAGGAAAAAAAGTGTTTCATTACTCTCACATGCTCAGGGTGCCTGTCCACGGGTACAGTACTGGCCGCCAGTTGATCTGCCGCTTGTACTGTCCACGCTACTGGCCTCGTGTATAGAATAGAAATGTCTGCACTGAAGAAATAGGCCCATGGCTTTGTACTTTTCGTGACCGGATTCCACAAGGGATCCGGCCTTATGAACCCGATCTTTCCATAACTGACGAATTGATTGAAATAGTTGCTGGACTTATTGCAAGGCTCGTAATAAGGTGCTAAGCATTTCAAGACTGAACACATGCTCCCGCATAGCTTCGTCTAGTCTGGTCTTGAAGGCATTCAATTCATACTCGGGGACTATAGGGGTTCAGCCGCTTCACTGGCATGTGCCGGCATGTGCCCGAGACGCGGCTGAGAGGGACAACGACTTGTTGTCCCTCAGTTGGGCTGATTCAGCCATGGTGAGAGCATTTGGCCGATCTTGTGAAGCATCTTGGGTCAAGTGAATCGTGGCTTGTTTGAACGAGAATGGTTTGAAGAAGAACCCAACAAAACAGAGTCTAGACGATATTCAATTGTTCTTTGAGATATTCCTAAAAATATGAACTAATGTAAAACGTTCGCCATGCTGTACTCCAACAAAATGAAGAGAGAAACGTGTATTTTGAAACTGAAAGAATACCTTATTAGTCAGGGTTAGTTGTTCCCGACGTTGCATTATTAAAGGCTAGAATAAAGAGAATGTAAACAACGTACAGACTCCACTTCTAACAACGCACTGGCGGGCGCCAATAACGAGAAGATATCGGCACCTTATACTGTCCTCGTGTTGCTTGCTTACTTGCTGGATAAGGTGTACACAGGGATAGTACTAGCCGCTAGTTCATCCGCCGCTTGAACTGTCCACGCTACTAGCCTCGTGTATAAAGGCCGGTCCACACGCTCAGTTTTCACAACGATTTGTCTGCGCAGTTTCAAGTCGGAATGAAATCGTTGCAATTTTTAGAGCGTCCACACGGTGCCGACTTATCCGAGTAGTTTGCTCAGTTGTGCGCGATCTCGCCATGGAGACGTCTCGGACAAATTTACGGCTGGACTCGCGGCCGGTCTCCCCAAATTCGGTGAGCAAGGAATATCTCCCAAAGTAATGAACGTAGCTAGATAAAACTTGGTACACGTATTCATTAGGACTTAACGGTGATGTTTAGCTCGTGAACATTTTTAGAATTTCACCTTCATTCGTGAGTTATATGACGATACGTGCCGAAATTTGCAGTGAGCATGACATTCTTCTTAACTACTCTACTGTACAGATTTGAACGAAACTTAGAATGAAGAAACCTAACCTCCCAACGGCGATGTTTAGCTCATGACAATTTTTTGACTTTGACTTTGACGGGTTGAGGTGTTGAAGGCCTTATTAGAGGCCTGTTCACCAATCATGGTGATACGTCGTATTAAGCAACGTGCGTGGTGGGCTCCGTTTAGTGATAGCAGTCCGGGTCGTACTTGGTGGCTAGGTTAGACCAGTGAGCGTCCAGGCGAGACTTGAATGAGTTGACACTGGGGGCATTAACCACCAGCTCAGGAAGGCTATTCCACACGTTCACCACTCTGACGGAGAAGAAATTCAAGCGCACCTGGCGACTGCACTGCTCTTTAACAAGTTTCAAACTATGGCCTCTGGTTCTGTCACTGGTGGACAGCTTGAAGAGTGATGCGGTGTTGTACAC